AGAACCTGACTACTATGCTAATCTGCTAATGCGCCATCTTACGTACAGCAAATGAAAGCTAATTCATCAATAATCAATATAGAACTGAGGCAGACTGAATTAGTATTACAGCGCTCTGGACCTAAATTACCAGACACTCTCTCTCTGTCTAAATTTAGATCGCCGTCTCTTAATTAAACTCACTTAATTTGCGTTTCTCCTGAATTAAAGGATGAACGTACAGATACAGAAAAGATTCAACATAAGAAATAATGCGTTAATTTAAAATAAACGTTACGCTTTCCGCGCCCAAAATGTGCAATTTCAAAAAAAATTTCCTACAAAGCTCATTAATAAGTGTTCATCAGTTATCTTTACTACGAATAAAAATTCTAAGATTTTTTTTTTCTTTGGTTTAAAAGTAAAATTCAGAAGAAAAGTTTTTAAAACTTATCTGTTTGAATCGGGTCTATCAAAGGCCGAGTGGATAAGACCGCTTAACATTGGTAGTTCGATCCGGTTCATATCTCGGTGATGAGTGGGAAATTTCGTGACTTCTAATACATGGCGTAAATACGAGCATGACTTTTCATGAGGACCCATTCTCTTTTAGAAATTCTCCATGAAGGAATTTCCAGCCTAAGATAAAGGGCCCTCCCGTTCCTTGCATTAATCATATGATCTTTTAAATCATGTTACATTAAAATAAAACATGTAAGAAGAGATGTGGATCATCTCTCTCCCCCTCTACGATAATCGAGTTAAATCAAGAACGTAAGAATAAAACGGAGTGCTATAAATTCCGAGTAATGATGTCATATATAATTAGAAAAACCTACTTCAGTATGATTTAATTAATTTTAAAAAGATTTTGCGCGTCGAAAGAAGGTAGCGTAATATTTGTACTGTTTTTAAACTTTTATGCAGAAACATTTGGCATAAATTCAAAGCTCATTTCATTTCATCTCAGATCATGTTTCTGTATTGAGAAATGTTTTTATACATATGATTCTCAACTTCGTGATTTATAGATAGAAATGGTAAGAAGTTTCACTTGCTCATTTTTCCTGTTGCTGCAGATTTCATACTGTTGCGTGCGAACGGGTTCGTAATAAATTGAATGCGCAAGTCCGATGAAAAGTGAATAAAATTTATTCTTATCACAACAAATAAAACAAAATGCTGAAATTTCCTCAGAGATATTCGTACAATATCGCAATATCTCACAGTAGTTATATTTTAAACTACTAAAACGGTTAATAGAACTCGAAACACAGAGAAAGCTAATCCGATCTCACCGCGAATTCGCTACAATAATCAAACAGTTTTCTAACAACATTGTAAGAAACTCATAAAACAACTGAAATGAGATGTTTTCCTCCAGCTTTTATACGCTAAAAGAAACATGCCCATATTCGCAGTAGGATAAATCAGGCACGAGAATGTTCTGGTGTTTTCTCGATTTTTCTCGATAGCAAAAGAATATACAATTACGAGATATCTATTTATTAAAATGTTAAATGCGCTTGCTCCTGTATTTTGATTTTTCCGCTGTAGCTTTCTCTTCAAGTCTCGTGCTACATTGCACGTTAATATAAAACAAATTTTAATTACACATTCTACTAAAATAGTTAAATAGAACATTTTTAGACGACTTTGCTTTGCTATAAAAAAAATCGCCTGCTTGAAAGCTTTTTTTTCAACTCAATAATATTTTCCAAAGTGTAAATTATCGTCTGCTACACGAAAATTTTATTTTCAGGCAAAATAGCGCTTTTAGAGAAGCAATGCACGAAATGTTATGTTTATGCTCTTTCCGAAGAAAATTATTCGTATTTAGTTATTACAGAAGATAAAATGGAAATAAAAATCTGAAAGGCTTCAGGTTTTAAATTGCGGCCAAAGGGGCGTCTTTTTAACATTTTGTCTGTTACCTTTATTTATTAAATATCAACGCTCATCGCACTTAAATCGTAAAGTTCAGTTCAAGAGCAACATCGCAAAATACTTGTAGTTTTAAATTGAGCATATCTTTAGAATTTCCGATACAGAGTCTCGCGCGCTGGAGATAAAAATGTTTTTTTCTGTACAACGTTGCCATTGCTCGCTTTGAAATCCTTGAGTTTGTTAATCAAAAATTCCTTAAATTTTTATAAAATATGAAATCGATAATAAAACAAATTCCAAATTTCAAATTTGGGCTTTCACATGCCCATATTCGCAGTAGGATTACGTCATTCAAAATTCGATGGCTCCATGTTTTATTACAATGCGAGAAATATACATACATTTATGCAGACTTTTCATTATTTAATTTCTTCAAATATAATACAGGACTCTAACATTTGGTGGCAACAGTTTGAAAAGTGAAACGGACATTTATAGTAAACCAACGCAAAATCGCAAAATGAAAACAATAGTCCTTCGGGGACAAAGCCACTTTGGACTAAAAATTGCTGTGTAAACCATGATTTTTCGGTATCTAAAGCAGCGATAGCTAATATTGTCAACGAGAAAGGAAGAAGAAGTCAAAGTTTGGCTTCAAGTATAAAAATCTGTTCAAAATACATATCCAAAGAAAAAATTGAATCTTCGAATGTTGCAAAAATAAGATATTTAAAGTTAAAAGAAAATCCGCCAAGTCAAACGAGAGCTGCAGAATAATTAAATGCTCAGTGTCATCCGTAAACAAAACGATTAATGTTTATTTGAATCTTAAAAAGGCGAAAAAATGTAATGTGCATCGTCTTTCTCCACGAAATATCGCAAAACGCGCTGCAAAATTCGAGATGCCGATTACTCGTAGAGCGGCATCACGACCAATAGATAGCCCTCGAGGCTTTGCCATAATCACACACATAACACACTCACGACCAGTGTCGCAAGAAACGGTGGACATATTGTTTCGGTTCTACGTATTCGTGGATTTGGAGTGATTGTTGATTGATGACAACACTTGATGAAGAATTAAAACACAATTTATTCGTCGGTGTTACAAAGGAAAGTTCCAAAGACGCGTTAAAGTCGTTGAAAAATTATGACAGACACGCTGAAACAATCAGTAGCGCAGCCTATAACGGTGAACACAGCTTCATGGTAAAACACTAAAGTAAAGCAGTCTTATCCCTGTCGGTTGCTAATAGTCTTTAATTCACGTCACACAAAACGTATAATATACTTCATTTCAACTAAAATTGTTTAATAAGGATATAGGTTTATTTATCATTGCATTATTTCTAAGAATCTCATTTCCCTTTCCTTTATATTCTGAGAAATTATGTTCACATGGATTGCGATAAATTTTAAGCATCTGTTTTTTGGGGGTCTTATCTTACTTGTCTGATAGTAATATCACAACAAGCCCACGAAGTTCTTCTTGGCAAGGAGTGCAAGATTGCGCCTGTCGTTGGCAACGGCCTTGAGCACCGTACAGGTTATAGTATGACTTCGCTGAATTCTGCCTCCAATTTTGATGGAGAGCTCTGAGTATTTCTCCAATTTTGATAGAAATACTCAGAGTCATCACGAAAGAGTTCATATTTTATTTAAAACTCAACTCTTCTGTACGAGGTACATAATGCATGGTACTCGAAATGTCTTAAATATATTAAAAATAATAATATTGCAAATGCTCATAATACCTATATCAGTTGGAATATATATTATAAATTAAAGGCGTTTCGATTTATACATGCAAGATAAATGTAAATTAAAAAAAATCAGTGAAGTGTTAATTTATTTATTGCTTTTACGCAGCTTTTAAGCAAAACAGTTATAAGTCGACAAATAAAGATTTCATGTCAAGTCGATAAATAAGTCTAGAAACTTTAGAAAAACTCCGTTAAAAGCATTTTTGAGTTATACGTATATACACAAGTGTTGTTCAAACTTTGTCATGACAGTAAACTCATAAAACTATAATCTCCTCTTCAGGAAATTAAATATTGAGAAAGCATTGAAAATATATGAGAATGTTGCAAGCACTTTATGTGGGAAAATACGAGTATTATTGTTTCATTAGAATTTTGACACATAAAAATCAAAAAAGTCATCAGATCATAAAAATTATTGGTTGAATATTAAGTAAAAAGCACCCTGGAAATTAAGAAAAACGTAATTGGAGGAAAAAAAAAAAAAAAAACTTTAAAATCTGAAAGGTTTTAGATTTCAAATTACGTCCAAAGGGGCGTCTTTTTAACGTTTTGCGTGTTACCTTTAATTTATTAAATATCATGTTCTTTGGACTTAAATTATAATATTCAGTTCAACAGCAATGTCGCAAAATAATTTTAAAATGAGCCTATCTTTAGAATTTCCGATACACAGTTCAGCGTACTAGAGATAAAAAGTGTTTTTGTTTTTTTTTTTTTCCCGTGCAGAAAAAATTAGAGGCCATTGCTCGCTTTTAAATTGTTGAGTTTGTTAATGAAAAATTCGTTAAAGTTTTTCGAAATTTGCCCATATTCACAGTAGGGTTACATCATTCAAAATTGGATAACTCTAGGCACCGTTGTTTTTTATCACAATGCGAGAAACATACATACATTTATGCAGATTCTTCTTTATTTAATTTCTTCAAATATAATACAGGGCGATAGTATTTGGTGGCAACGATTTGAAAACTGATACAGCCTTTTAAAGTTTTCAACGCAAAACCGCGAAACGAAAACAATAGTCCGCGCCGGGGACAAAGCCCCTTTGGACTAAAAAGTAATTATTTACTTAATCACTTTTTTTTTTGCAATCCGTATGTTATTCCAAAATTATTATTATTTTTTTTTAACTTGCAAAACTCCTAACCCCAGGGTTCTGCGGAACTAATTTGAAAACAACTTACATAAAGTAATTAACAAAAACTTAAGTTTATTCTTTAGCGAAAAACAAGTGATTAAAATTAGACTTTTCCGTAATATTTTTTCTCCCTCCATATCTTATCTGTATCTGCAAACGACGTCGCCGCTTTCTATTGGTTGATCAAATAATCGGTTTTCAATTTAAACACGTCAGGAAAGCAGTGAGTGTTTCCTTTAACCAACGTTTCGCTGCTTTGTCAGCAAGGCTCTTTCTTTCCTTCTGTGAGGTTATCGCAAATTTCCGAAGCTGTCTTACGTGTCGTGTTATAGCAGCGCAAGACGTCTGCATCTTGCTCCTACTTATTTATTGAATGCTGTGCACAGTCCCTTAGCATCAACATCGCCACTAAGTGGCAGCCGTGAGTCTGTGATCAGCGAAGAAGCGTATATTCCCTCTGAGGTAAAAATTGAATGGAAGTACAAGAAACGTAAAACGTTCGGTAAGAATGCTTTGTAAATATTTCTTGAAATATTTAAGCTTTATCTGGAATTTATAACTTGCTTTGTGTGTAGTAAATGATGTAACTGCGCAACTATGTTTCGTAAAATTCCTTAAATGTATAAAATTCAACCATCAAAAGCAAAAAACTGTAAGGAAGAATATTATTTAATCCTAATATTTAATTTTAAATCAAAGAAAACAAGTCTTAAAACTGGTGTATTTTAGAATTGTTATGATTCTGTTTTTTAATACTAAAAACTTCCTCAGTATTTTATTTAAATGCTAGAAATATCTTAAAATACAATTTTCATTTAGTTTTAATTCGACGACTACTTTATTTTATTCTTTAAATTACAAATCATTGATATCATTTTAATGTATACGTTTTGTGATATTTCAGGATTTTAATGTTAAAAAATTCCTAATGCTTTAATAAATAAATTTAAGGCTAAAGTGCAGCATCGCCCACTTATTTGATTGGCGTCTATTTGGCGCTTTTTACAAGAGTAAGAAGAACTGGATTTTTGTCAATCTTCTTTGACTTTTTAAGTGAAAATAGGTCAATGCGTACATGCATTAAGTCAAGGGAGTGCGCAATGCCATTTTTGTGCAATTCTGGAATGTTTTTTTAAGTGAAAATAGGTCGATGTGTACATAGATACCGAGTATGTGCAATTCTTAAAAACGCGCCAAGCAGTGGGCAATTCTGCATTTTCCCCAAATCTAAAATAATGCTTTAATATGCAACAGTTTCAATCGCTCAAAATTCCATAAGTAAATATGAAGGTCAAACTGTAAAATTAAAACTCGTTTTTCTCACAAAATTGATTTTTCCCCCCCTCTTGGAAATAAGGAGTCACTAATACTGGTATTTCCTGCCTGGGCTCGATTCCAGGCAAAAGCACTGGCCGCATGGGTGTTTTTTGTTTTCCACATGTGTAACGTGTATACGAGCCAGTTTTCCTTAGAAAGTCTTCCACGAAACCATCTCTTAAGCAGGTAGCCCTAGTGTGTTTTGCCGTAATCTCAATAAACCAAAAATAAACCAGTCACCTGGAAATATGTTTTTGTTCTTTCGTCTTGATTCATGACTTGGAAGATCTGAAAGTTCAAGCAGTAAAGTATTTGGAAATACTTCCTCGGAAAGATGTTCACGTTGAGCTTCTCAACCTATTTTACAGCTTAGCTAAAGATAGCACAAGTGATGTCGTGTACAAGCAGATTTTCTATGAGCATAGACAGGATTACAATGTCTATGTTACAGTGTATACAGATGGATCAAAGTTCTAGGATCACGTCGGCTCTGCCTTCGTGTGCGAGAATACTATTGAGAGAAGAAAACTTCATCTCGCTTGTACCATCTTTACTGCAGAGATCGTTGCTTTGCTATTAGCTCTATTTTTCATAAAGTAAACGACAAATACTTGTGAGATTTCAGCAAAAGATTTCGTTGGTAAAGAACCACATTTTAACATTTTTAACTTTTTGAAATCTACAAAGTTTTACTTCTTTATTAGAATGCCCTGCATCCAATATGGGTTTCAGAAGATCTAACTCTTATCTAGTTTTATTCATATCATCGAAATTTATCTTTTAACTAAAGATTTTCTATTTGTATTTCATGGTTTTTATATCCTGGTTTTTCGTAAAAGAATTTTATGTGTTTGATCTTATTGCTTGCTATTTTATACCTATATGTAATGTTGTCTTAAATTTCGACTCCTGAGTAGACACTGAATGGTGCATGTGTTGCATTTCTATTATCTTAAGTATAGGAATCGCACAACCTTTTGTCTTGCACAACATAAACCCCATGAGTTTTGTGTCAAAAAATATCAGCCAACCAACTTCCGTCTTGATTCATCAAATTCGACTGTGCATTATTAATGTAACAATTAAAGGTAAAAACTTAAAATCTTGGATTATTTTCCGAATTGTAAAGCAATAAAAAATGCTGAGCTGATTGAACGTCAAAAAAATTCTTGTATGCATTAAAATTTTCGGAACTCTGTTTAACTTAATTTTTTGCAGATATTTTGTAACTGCAGATATATAAATAAGAATTATACACTCCTTCAGAGCCGGGACAAGGGTGAAGCAAGTGAGGTATTTGCCTCAGGTGAATTGCTAGAAGGTGCACCAAATTGGCCATATGAATTCGAAAATTACTTTAATTATGTTTTAAAATTGTCAGTTATTATTAGGGGAAATAAGCTTTAGTAAACTAAAATTAATAAAACAACAGGAAGAATTGCAAGAAACTCAGGAAATTAATGCAATGTGCATTTCGATATTTTTTCTTATTTATCAAAAAGGAATTTTTTAATACTTTTCATTTGAAAGTTGTAAATAATTGGCTATATTATTTTCCTGAATTTATAAAGCTGAGATTAAAATATACTTTAAGAATTATGGTAAAATTATGCTATAAGAATTTTGAAATTTTGATTAATACCCTTATTGGTACTTTTCCGTTTTGCCGGCGCAAGCGATAAAGTCGCCAATAATGGTACAACCGATGCCAAACGGAATATTCTCGCTGGTAACCTTTTACGCCTCATTTTCAAAACAAGTCGCAGCTTTTTCTTATCAGATTGATTGTTTCTTCAATAGTGGCATATAATTACATAGAATTTTTATCAGATAGTTCAGTTTCATGTCTAAGGCCATTTTCGGTAATTAAGTCAATCAGGATGCAATCACAGGCTTTACCCGAAGCCGAAAATATGGAAAAGGTAAAGTCAAGGGTTAAATTCATCAATTCTAATGAGAATGCATTAGCGAAGTAAAGCACTGCGGTTATATAATTTCTGAGTAAGCTATTCGTACGAATTGAAATATTTCTTGCATTTAAACTTGCGTTCCAAATTAAGATTTAACTTGAAATTAATGTAGATAATTACTGAAAGCATTAGATTTTTGTAGAGTAGTTTACGTGAGATGAGATCGCTTGGGGTCACGTGATATGAACCCGCGAATCAGGATGTTGAACCATTAAAGCGTAGTAAATTCTTAAATTAATGTCTTTTTACAAATTTATTGTCTTTATTTATTGGCTTTTTATAAAATTTTAAGCGATATTAAAATTTTTATGCCTTCAAAAAAAAAATTCTTAGAACTAACATTTTTTTTAAATATTTTTTATGTGTATACTGTATATTGTCGCCAATAAAATCTGCTTGGCAAGATTTGCGCCGGCCAAACGGAAAAGTACCCATTTATTTTTGTTTAATACATATAAGGGCGCGCATTTACTTTTTTGCCTTGGGTGAAAAAATACCTCGGCACGCCTCTGCACTCCTTACATATTTACTTTTGAAAATGCTTATTCTGAATTTAAAAAAAATATTTATACATTTTTTTCGGCAACCAAAATGTGTTAAAACGAGATTATGTACGTTTTAAACGGTTTTGATTAAACTAGGCCAATAGGCGATAAAGTCTGAAAAATCCCTTAAAACGTTTCTTAAATATTAATTTATAATGGTCATCCGATGTTTCCCTGAATGTTTGCGACTTTAATGCCTTTTAAAGACTAAAGCATTCGCGCTTACCAGCGGCCGAGCGATTAAGTCACTGAACCCTGGTAGTTCCGACCTGGGTTTAACCGTAGGCAAACGGGCTGGCTGCATGGTCATTTTCGTGATTTCTCTTTGTGTAATGTCTGTACGAGCCAGTTTCGCTTACAAAATCCTCCACGAAGGCGTCTCTCCTTAAAATCCCCCCCTCCAAAAAAGAACTCTTTCGCAAAACATTGCAAGATGTGGTTTACTTGTGGATTACCGGTATTTCAGAGAACAGGCTGGGCTGCATTAGCATTTTCGAGATTGTTTCCATGTGCAACGCATATGTGATTGAGTTTTTTTCTGGAAGATTAGGCCCGAGGGCATCCTTCACTTAACAGAATAGCTCTCAACTGTTTTATTTAATCAAACCAACTAATCGAATTTTATACCGATGTGAAATTTAAAGGCTTGTTAATATATAAGAAATATTTTGATTAAAAATTTGGGAAACTGATAAACTGAAGGGTATTTGCAAGGTCAATAAACAAACAAGGTTAAGCTGTTGCGAACGCTCGAGTACAGTGACGTCACTTGAAGTATAGAACTGAAAGACACAAAGGGAGTAAGGGATAGTTGCTTTTCACCAAATTATGTGCATGGACCTTATAAGAAAGGAGCCTTATACTCCTATAAGTTAGGTACTTATACCCTTACCTTATACTCTTACTATAAGGTCCATGACTATGTGACGTCAGGGAAGAGCAAACCTAGGAAGGAAGAGCATAGTAACCTTGGGAATTGTTGGTCGGCCGATACCTGCCTAAACATCGCCAAACGTATTGCTCGTGACTGACAGACAGTTCTAGAACTGTACCAAATTCTTCTACAAAGATTATTTTTATTTCTTTTTTTGTGGAGGAATGAGGCTAAGAGACGTGTGGATGGCTTTTTTCTCCAACTTCGATCTCGAGTTCCAAACGGTGGAAAGCGCCTGATGATCAGCAAAATAGGGGAATATGCGACAACGTAATGCTGCTCGTAATCTCTTGAATCATCACATGAAAAAAGAAAATAACAATTTGTTTGATGCTGTTTTGAACGTGATTACCAAAAATAATTGTGCCCCCGGAAATCAACGAAACTAGTTTCAGTTTCTTTGATCGCTAAGGGCGCCAATCGGTGGTGCGTATTGTATCAGCGTGTGCCGATTTGGTTATTATGGCAAAGCTGGCAAGGGCTATTTGCCTAAAGGCGATTCCTTCGTTGAGAACTTTCTAATGGGAGCTGGCACGTTGTACACGGAAAGAACAACGAAAGCGCCTATGCATTCTGCCCATTCTCTTGGAATCGAACCCAAATCAAAAGCGGATGTCAGATAACCAATACATATTTAAAAACTACCGACATGAACTCTTTTACATAAATCTAGTTATTGACATGGAAAAAAATAATATTCTTGTTTTTTACTTTTAGAATGCAGGAAGGAGGAGGCTGATGAGATTCGAAGGTTGTATCCTTCTAGTGTACCCGTAAGTTGAAACTTCAGTAAATCTAAAATTTTGCAAGTGTAATAGAAAGGTATTTCAATTTACAAACCTTTTGGTTATAGGGTAACAATTGCCAAATTTTCTTTAGATTGCACCATCTTGATACTTACTGCAAGAAAGCATACTTTCGTCATCAGCTCATTTCTATTGTAATATAATTTTTTTTAAACGTAAGAATTTTATCCCTTTAGTTATTTCAACAGGAATAGAATGACACATTTTAAAAACTTTCATTAAAAATACTTTGTAAACAAGAATACTTTAAGAGATAAAAGCAAAATGGTATGTAACTGTGGCCAATAAGCATCGCTGACGCATATATTTCTGTAAAAAATCATTTAGAGCGTGCTGCCGATAATAAACTCAGTTACGACTCCTTTTACTGGAAGTAAGTTACGAAATTTCAGTAAAATTTTGGAAGTGTTCGTGCTTCAGATATAAATTTGTAATTATACTCAGGTCTGAATCGTTGACTTTAAATCGCTTACTTCCACCTTTAAGATATTTTTCAATAAATGTTTCTGTAATTTGAGACCGTTTGTAGAAATTCGGTAAACTGCGCACGCCAGAAGCATCCCTAAAATTAAAAAGGAAATGTAGGAAACAGAGCAAGGACAAGGATGAGAAAAGTGAGGTACTTCTTTCATTCTTTCACTTGAGGCACTTGTCTCAAGTAAAAGGCTAGGAAGGTGCGAAATTAATTGAGAAATTTTAGAAATACACTTAAATATAATGATTAACTTTCAATTTTCAAAGACTCTGAGAAGTAGAATTTTAATAAAGCAATGAAAAGTACGTTACTTTCTTTAACACTTGCACATTCGCCTTTTTCATTAATCAATGAATCAGATATATAAAGGAGGTGCAAAGAATGATTCCCGAGTTCAAAGAATGATTCGATTACATCCCAGACACATTTGATTACAAAACCTTTTTTTAAATTTTCTTCAACCTACCTGGTTTTTGGCAAAATAATTTTTAATCATCTTGTATAAGGTATCAAATGATAAATCATTGCAGTGGGTTGAAACTAGTACCGTCTTTATTCACAGTCGATGAATTCGATGGATTCACAGTATATGCTCATGCTTAAACGGTTTTACCATTGGTTGCCCTAAATATGTCTTAAGTCTTGAAATAAGTCTTTTCTGTCTATGTTAATAATGATTGGTATACATGATATGAAACAATATTGGAGTGAGGTGCTGACAGAGGATTTATCGTAGCAAAAGGTAAATTTAGATGTCGCTAAAGAGAAGCGATATTACATACTTTCATCACAGTAAACCCACGCCCTTTTAATTTTTGTGTAGGACTTTCACGCTTAATTCAAAATCCTAGTTAATATTAGGGGAGAGAAAAAAAACGCAAAATAGAATTACTAATAGCATAAGTTATAGAAAAATACTATTAACAATTCATTTATATTTTCCAGCAGTTTAATTTGGAGAATAGATTTATTTGTTTACATAAATTAAATCAGTAGTCAAAACAAAAGCAACGTTCAATAAACAAAGGTTAGGTAAAAATAAACTATTATGCAAGTGGCACTGAAAGACAATGCAATTGTCACTGAAAGACAATGCAATACAATTGAACAAATATCGCAGAGTTTAAATTGCTTCCTCTCAAAAAAAAAAAAAAAAAAAAGTTCTGATTCTTGGCAGTTCATCTTCCAGACATGTTCTGCTATTATTCCACACACTTTTTTCTTCCTTTTTATATTTTTCGTATAGTTTAATTCTACACTGATGATTCGTGACAGTCATTCCTCCACCGTTCCGCGATAAACAAACTTCTTGCTAATCAAAACCGTAAAAAACAACCTTATATTTAGCGTTAACCGTAAAAAACAACCTTTACACTAAATATAAGGTTGTTTTTTACGGTTTTGATTGTCACATTAGCGTGTTTCTCTTCTAGTCTAAACTTCTTGCTATTTTAGACAGAATCATGTTAATCAGTGATGCGGCTCTACCCCTGGTTCACCGGGAGACAACTGCATTTTCTTAACTTTCCTTTATACTTATTTTTATGCCTGGTAAAACGTATTTGGTCAACAGTAAGCTTACATTTGGGAGAATCGAATATCGTCGTGTATACATTTTTAATAACTGATGGGAGCACTTCTTACCCGTTGAATTGTTCAAAGACCCACTGTATGTATTTACACACACTTGGAATTTAAATTCGAACAAAACTAGAATTTAAATCAACTATTGTATAAACCAAACCATTTAAGCATGTATATTTTTTAATATAGAAACTAACCATTCTGTAGAATATCCGTTTCTGAGGGAAGGCATTTTAATAATTTGACTTTAGAACTGATAAAAGTTGAAAGATAAATTATAAATGTATGTGAAATTGAATTCATCAAGACTTGATATTCATGTCTCATTCTGAAAGTATTATTGAACACCTACCTTTCTTAAAATAGGGAGGGGGGGACTCGTAACCCGACCAGTTGCCGAATAGTTAAGACCGCTGAATGCTCGTAATTCGATCAGGGTCCGAACCCAGGTGACAGAACTGGCGATCGGGTGCCATGTTATTACTCATGTGTAATGTGAACAAGTTTTCATACAAAGTAAGGAGTTCGTAGTTTTCCTAAAGGATTCCTTCGCCTTAGGCAGACAGCCATCGTGTGATTTGCCAAATTGAAATAATATAACCTTAAAATAATATACAAATATATAGTCCAAAACTTCTTTGTATATAAAATATTCGACAGAATTTAATTTCGTAAATTTCATTCGAAAACAATGCCCAACCATGTTTCTTCACTGATATTCTGATAGTGATCTGAAATTTTTAATTTATTTTTATTTCAAATTTTTTCAGAAAGTTGGTTACTTGGCAATAAAATATAAACAAACATTATTTTCAGAATTGACATGAAATTTATTTGGCGTTAAGTAATTAAATGTGTACATAGATGCTTATTAGAAATTAATACCTTTGCAGTAAACTTTAAATTATTTTTCCTCTTATAATTTCCATAGAGTAAAATATATTGTAAATTCTAACTCAATCATGATATGTAATTTTATTAAAAATAATTACCTGCTCAAACATTTTAAAGGTTATTGTTATTGAAATGAATGCTCCTTTTTGAAAGATAAATAAGACGCGTAAAACTTAGTATTAAAGTTCTTATGTAGTTTATCATTACTTATTTCCCTCATTAGATTATCTTAGAAAGGGTTTTAAATTCAAGGACCCCTACTGCTCAGAAGGAGAAGTATCTTGTGCCTCGAAATCTAACGGTTGGAGGACTGATACACAAGATTAAGAAAACGATGATTCTACATCCTGATACGTCATTATTTCTTCTGTGCAAAAATGGCATACTTCAGTCAAGGTAAGACCTATTTCTATCCATACAACATGAGATCTTGCAATATATTATACAAAATTAATTTAATCTCTCATTCATTATGTACGATCTAATTTCGTTAACTTGATGTTTTTGATGAAATTGGGGTTGAAGGCTATAAACTATATTAAATTATTGTACGAAGGTCAAAATTTTGCTGTAAATGATTTCATGAATTTAATTTGACATTTAGAATGCTGCAATTATGCTGTTGCAATTAAAATGAAATTGCTTACGTTATTGGCATCAGCTTTCTAAACTGAATTTGACACAAATGTCAATGCATTTCAAAACCTTAATACAATATTGCAAGTATCGATTAATATTTTAAATATTGTACTCAATATTTCATATTCAAATACTATTTAGACTGCTGATTCGAAGCTCTTGTCTCATTTTCGCAACCATCCGTCATCTTTATCTCATTTTGATATAAATATTTATATCAAATTAATAATCTAATTTGATATATATATACATGTATATGGTATAAATGTTAATTAATGTTACTTTTTTCACGTCTTAAAACAATATTGGTTATCTTATTTATTGCGTGTAAGAGAATTTTAAAATTATTTTTCTCAGTTTTTCTTTTTACCTTGCAGAAACAAGTTACATGAGTTCAGAAATAATGAAACACTGGTCAGATTTGCAAATAAATCTGCGAATTTTAAAATTGCTTTCATATCGTTTGATCCTGTTTAAAGTACGAGTTCTCACTTTAAATATTTGAAATTTCAATTAAATTAATTTATTAAAGATAATAATAGTACTTGGATCTTTTCAGTGGCGGGCCCGAACCGTCCACAGACGTTAGCCACTACTAAGCCCAGAAGCGGTGGTCACTTTATTATGGAGGCACCTATGCCTCCTAAAAGGGAACATACAAATACAACCATGCCTTCTCCGGGATTCGAAACCGGACCCTTTGGACCGGACCCTAACCCCTGTACCGTCTGAGTAACGCGTACTTTAATTATAAGCTACTGTGATTTGATCTTTTTGAAATATGACCGTGAGAGAAAATTCTGTATCAATGGTAACCACTTTCAAACAGTTGAGTTCACGAGAAAGTAAAGATTCTGAAGAACAATGTAATTTGAGTGCACGATATACGTAAAAGAGGCATATCGTTTTAACAGGGTGACGTTATAAGGTATTTCTCCCATTTCCCTAGCGTGCCTTCGTGGTGTAGTGGTTCTGCACACTGAGCCGGTATTTAAGAGGTCCGTGGTTCGATTCCCGACGAAGGAGGTTGTATATTTTTTATCTTTTCTGCTTCCAATTAACCTAATGACTCTACGTGACTAGAGTATACAGCCAAACAAAAAAGAAACAGAATTGGGTTTTATTGCTGACAATTTGAATATCAAGGGGAAATGGTATTTTGAATATCAAAGAAAGAAATCCAATTCAATTTCAAAAGTGGACTAAAGTTGCATCAGTCGAATTCAAAACATAATCTGTATTTTCTCAGAAAGCTTGAACATGTCATTTAGCAAATCTAGAGCTGAAAAGACTGTTTTTCAAATAATTAAATCTCGTATAGTGTATGTAAACGTCGGCAAATACTGAATTGAAGGGATTATCCCAAACTCATCCTTCAATTTGGCAATAGTAATTATTTTGGAAAGAGAAGTGGGTCTGGCTCAAGTTTAGTGAGAAATTAACTTGATTTCGGTATGTGCGAAATGTCGCCGATTTAACCTCGGCTGGAACGTAATTTAACAATGGTTTATTGTCCAAAGAAATCATAATTTAGCTCTGTAGACAAATATCATTAAATTTATCATTTAACATTATTAGCACTGTAAAAAAGTACTTTAAAAATTTACATTGCAAATATTATTAAAGTAATTGAGAAAAATCTAGAAACAAAATATTTGTCAAAAGGGTACAATGCTTTCCCAAATTCAGAAATAGGAATTCAAATTTTGTGAACTTCAGGCTGAAATGGAACATAAAAACCGTAACATAAAATTTAACGCAATTGGGTAACAGGTGTACTTAGCAATTTTTATAAAACTATCTAAAGTGTACAAAGAGATTTAATAGTTAAGACTTTTTAGAGGTCAAAATTTGAAGGATCGTTTAGGAATCGACCAGAGTGAGACTTTACGTATCAATTTCGTGACTTCATCAATATATATTTGCGTGTTTATTTGTAGGAATGATTTTCATCATTCGAAACTTTTGAAATAATACTGTTTGGATCATAATAAAGTTCGCATAATCTTTAAGATCAGCATCGATTTTCGATTCTGTGTTGCTATACGAAGCCTGTATATAGGTTACACTATGAATTGCAACCGAGGATTAGTTATTTTGAATTTTTGTATTTACGAGGAAGATTTGAGAATCTCGAACTCTCAAAAATATAAAAATCTACTCTTGTAGAAATTCATAATAAAACAATAGCTGCTGATGTTCTATAGATAATCCCCCCCCCCAATTAGATATGGGAATCTTAATCACCAATCAAGATCTTTCTGAAGAAATGTGGCAGCAAAATCTCAATGTTATATAGACAATTTATATAGTTTCAATTTCCTTTTTAAATTGGTTTAATAGCTAAAATTTTTGTCTTTTTCGTTAACTCACCTAGCAATTTTCTGTGTACTCTCTCGTCTTCAGCTCATTACGATTTCGGTAAATATTTAAAATATTTCTGATTTTAAGATATATGCATCTTGGATTTGCTATTTCAATAAATAAAGTATAAAATAGAATGACACACCTAGAAAGTTTTTGACAATACTTGCTTGAGAAAACGTTTTTATTAGAGGATATTTAACTTAAAAGATTGGCCACTAAGCAACATTGGCGTGTATCTTCCTGTATGAAATTGTTTGGCGCGTGGGAACATTAAGCGAAAATCCTAAATAAATCTGTGTTTACTATTACGAATGGTGTGTGACTTATATCTTCCTATATTCTAATATGCACTTTAAATCATCGGTAATTAAATTTAATTTTTTAAGTTACAGTAAAACTTTTAGTTTCTAACTTACAGAAGGAATAAGGGATATTTGCATGAAAGATACGTTAAGATGTTGATAGAAAAAACACCAGTATCCAGAAAGCCATGGCAAGGTATGAATAGTTTAACGAAACATTTCTAGAATAATTACCGCAGTTTATAATACGTTTGACGTGTCTTTGTGGTTGCGAGAGGCTTACTTAAGCAGCTTACTGTAGATTCTCCAGTAGACATCGATTAGGCATGCCCCGAAGATATTCTGAAATGCATGCAATTATCCCGTCTGTCTTTATTCTAATCCTTTGCTTGTAAGGGATTCTGTATGGATGGACGGTTTAATTGATATGATCTAGTTGCAGCTAGCTTCTAGAGTGCAATAAAAATGTTATGATTTTGTACATACATCAATTTCCCCAAAACTATTTATATATTTTTTATGTAATGCTGGGGAAAATTTAGACGCGATATTTTGCTGGAAAACTAAGAATGCCGGGCCAAGTTTATTTAATTATTAGTAAGTGGCTATCCTGCGAAATTGACAAGATATCGCCAAATTGGCGATTGTTTTGGCAACTAATTTTTGTTGCCAAAACTAGATTCTACTAGATTTCTCGACGGCTGCGGGAAAACGGTATAAGACAGGAAAGAGCAACAATTTGGTTGTAGTTTAGAGAGGAATTCGCAGTACTGGAGATATCGTTCAGGATACGGGTATCCGTCCTTTTAGATTCGTTTTGCATCGGGCTGTGTTTAACGTTCTTGGTAGTGTAACCTGCTGATTACACTGATACCGTGAAGAGCTGTACGTGTTTTTGTGGGAAGTACCAGAGCTGTGAAGTGTTTTTGATAAATTTTAATAAGCTTGTCTTTGGTTCTGAGTGTATTCAATCTATTATGAACCCGTACGCACTCAACAATATGTTGCCATTGAGCTTCGTGCGGTCTCAGTGAGTATACTTTTAAGAAAATACCATCAAATTATAAAGTGAACAATTTATTTTTACGATTTCTTTAATATTTGGAAACACTTTATAATAAACCAAGAAGTCATTTAATGCTTCATAAAAGAAACAGCCTCATTTCATAACTTGAACTCCTAAGTTACTTACTGATTTAAGTAAACAGCAAGATCAATTAAAATTCTTGTAACCTTTAAAACCTAAAATTTAATATAATTTATTTTGTATCTATTTTCAGTTTGACTATGGGCGAACTTCTTGACGAAGAGCGTGATGAAGATGGATTTCTCTACCTTTGCTATCTAGCCAGAAACAGTTACAATTGTACTAGAGAGGCTGGTAGAATTTTATAATTACTTTCTGTACTTAATCCCGAAAATATGTAACTTTAATGAAATTTTTAATTGTTTAGATTCTACCATTGTTAATAAAGCCATTATGTTAATTAAGGAGAGTTGAAATTTTCAACACTCTCCTTGCTTTATTATGTGATGAAAGTTTAACTGTATGTATTACTTGTATGAGTTTAGTTGATTGAAGCATTCTCGGGAAATACTTTCCTTTATGTTTTTTAAATAAATTTTTTATGAGAACAATTGTGTATCTTTTGAAACACTAGAAAAGATGAGATTGTCATAAACCATTCAAATTCTGTCCTTTATTTTCAAAATGAATCATCTGCTTCACAATGCACCATTATCTTAAGCTATTCAAAACACTAATAAAACACGATGGGTTTGTATGAAAACTTTTCAATAACAGTGGCATACTAAGAGCAAAACGAAATTTATACGCTATTGAAATAACAAGCTCGCAACAAAGTGAAAAGCTCAAGAATAACATAGATGAGGCAAATTTTCTTAACCACGTTAGAAACATCTCAGATCGCCTATATCATTCGGAGTAACACACATCACCGATATCACTGAGCAGGAGCTCAATATAAAGCAAATTTTGAACTGACTCCCTTCATCGTAGCCGTATTTCTAGATTAACTCAGTCCCTCTGGAAAAAAATTTCGTACTCTAAGAAAATGCATTTTCTGGAAACTTTCAGAATATTGCCAAGGCTCATCAAATAGTTTCTGCCTGTATCTCGGATCCGCATTGGATAGCTTCGTAATTTAAACTTGAACACATTCAGAATTACAAGATATGAAGTATAATTTGCGAAATGAGCATTTACCGAGCACAAAAGTGACCATAAATTTCGATTAAACAAAAATATAATAAATTAAATAAAATGCGACGGGTAAACAGGAACATTACACTATGAAATGCACGAAAATTAAAGTATCATATTCATATAAATTTAAATATGCATTAGAGAACGTTGGACAACAAAAATAAAAATTTTTAATGGATTTAGGTCCATGGCTGTTAATCTGCTCCTATGCTAAAAAGGCTTACCAGCGGCTGAGTAGTAAATTCGCTGAACGCTAGTAGTTCGGTGCGTTGTCATATCCCTGCACGGGTATTTTCGTTGTTTTCCAGATGTAATAAAGCAGTTTTTCTTGGAAAGTCGATCACAAAAAGGCATCCCCCCATAAGTAGATAGCACCCCCCAGTGCTTTGCCATAATCAAATAAAATCTGTGTTAAAGAATTTCGAGGAAAATGTTCGCTAGTTTTTCTAGAAAGTAAAAAATATCACAATCATCTTCGAAGAAATATCTATTGGCACATCTGCATTAGCGCTTCTGAAATCCGTAGAAATGTTGGAGAATCTCTTTTGATATTTATCATAAATTTGCTATCATGTTATTTTGAGTAGCTAGAAAATATCGACTCGTTAGAATTATGAAAACAACGAGGTTGCAAGATGAATCTGGCATAGAAAAATAGTTATCGCATAACAGCGATATCCCGTTTTACCTTAGATATCAGAAGAATTATGATGGAAAATGAGTATACAATCAATTATCCAATGAAAGACATCTCGTCACAACACAAACAGTTTAATATTACAATTCTATTTACAAGTCTAATTAAGTGTTAGTTTTAGCTTTGACACCTCAAAGCAATACTCAGAACATAAATGGCATAAAATATTACTCATCAGTTTTTAAATACTCATGAAAAATATCTCAAAAAGTCATTATTCTCATTACTTCAAACGAAAGTAAAAAACAGAACAAACTCGAAAACGTAGATGTAAAAACTCAACTGTTGCCAATCGCGATTTACTAAATCACATCAAAATAAAGATAATAATCAGGTAGAGGTTCAACTTCACAAGCGGTTTGTTTCCAATCAAAGATTCTTGGCTGAAAATGTGACAGCCAACCGAATGGTTGAAATATGCTTTAACTTCTGTTTACATTGTTAGCCGAACTATGCAGCCCTGGATGTCACTTTTTGCATTTTTTCTGTAAAGAATGTTAAGTTCAGAGAACGGACAAGTTCAGAAGTTCAGAGAACGGACAAGTTCAATTATTGCAGTTTTTCACCAAGCAACATGACTTTACCGAAAACTTCTTGAATTGACTTCGTTTTCTTATTAGTGACTTCGTGCACACACACACACAAAAAAAAAAGGTTATATATCTCTCGTTCTAGTGGGCTGACTGACGAAATTCAAACTGCTTTTGTCATGTCTCGAAAGCGCAACTTGAGATATGTATTATATTATATTAGATATTTTAACGTAAAATCGGACTTTTTCTGAAATGACATGACAATGTCATACAAGTTGTGTTCGAAAAGTTCGGTGATTGGTCTCCTAATTAAAAAACGGCGCCGGATAGGATCTTGCACTCACGCAGACGCAGTGAGAGAAATGTCATCTAGAGCCATCTAACGGTCATTTTACGACAGGTAAGAGGAAACGAACACTATGAGCAGTTTAACACAGTCAGTGTGAGAAAGATTGGTCAGTGTGACATGGAGCAACGCATAAACATAAAGTTTTGCTTCAAGTTAAGCAAAACGGCGACGCAGACACATGACATGTTAGTTGAAAGTTTACGGTCAGGAAGCAGTGAGAGGAAGCAGTGAGTAAAAAGTGTGTTTATGAGTGGTTTAAACGCTTTACAGACGGAAAGGAGGATGTCAAAGATGAGCCTCGGTCGGGGCGCCTTACAACAAGCACAACTCCAGACAATATTCTTCAGATCTGGCTCCCGCGGACTTCTTCCTGTTTCCCCGCCTCAAAGGAGTTCTGAAAGGCCAACAATTTTCTGACATTACTGAGATCCAACAACGTGTGACAACGGTGCTTCGAGCCATACCGAAATGTTCTGATATAGGTATTTTGTAAAATCGGACTTTTTCTGAAATGACATGACAATGTCATACAAGGTGTGTTCGAAAAGTTCGTGAAGTTCGAAAAGAAGCATTTGCAGACAGTTTCCAACAATTGTACACCCGATGTCAAAAGTGTATTGTTGCTAATGGCGAATACTTTGAAGGCCAGTAAAGCTTATTTTGCTTGTTTCTCTTGTTTCCTTTTTTTATGGTAAAATTCACCGAACTTTTCGAACACACCTTGTATATATAAAGCCTGATAATCGGAATTGTATCTTTGCAAAGATTTGTAATTACACAACTGTTAATTGATTTCTTATGAAATTAATGATTCTGATGACATCGTGGAAAAAATACAGAGTTTAAGTCGTGGATAACTTGGCTGCAAATTCTTTCCGATGGCTCGTGTAGTAAGTAAAAATATGATATTATTCAACAACTTTTTCATCATCATTGTTCCAGCACTGTACACACAGACACCTATGCAACTACTCAATTGTATGGCCATTTGTGAAAATTTCATTGAATTTGGAAATTGTGGTAGCCCATGAAGCGGTTGTTGATGCGAAATTCGGCATGCTTTGAGAAACCAGCTTCTGCCGAGACCAGAACTTAAGTCTACGGTTAATGATATACTCTACCATAGTCAGAAAAATGTTCTGTCTGGCTATTTTAAGAATTATAACTCATTAAATTTATGAGCATTGAATGGCTATCGAGGATGCCGTAAGATAAATATTTTCCTCTCTCGAGCACGTTTCCAAAAGACAGCATGTACACTGCGGGGGGGGGGGGGGGGGGATGGACAGCCCTATATCTCTCGTTCGACTGGGTCGATTGACGAAATTCAACTTGCAATTTTCATGTCTCGAAAGCGCGACTTAGGATATGTATTAGATTTATATATAGCATTGTTCTAATATAGCTATTTTGACACAAAATAGGACTTTTTCTGAAATGACATGCCAATTTTTTTCCATATTTCGATTCTACGACTCAAATTGTATTAAAGTGCCAAGTTTTGTGAACATCGCAGGAGCATTTTTTTTTCCCCTCAAAAATCAGCTGTCCCAATTTCAGCACCCCACGTTAATTGAAGTTGGTTTATATATTGGGTCAGTCTATAAATTCGTGCGCATTTTTTGGTAAATTTTTAAATAATATAAACACAATTTAGCATTTTAATCAATTGTATATTTTCCTCCATTATCTACAATGTCTCGCCATCTTACAGGCAGAATCTTAAGGAGCTTTCTTATGCCATTGCTGTAGAAAGTTGTTTTGATGCAAAAAGACTTGAAAGTTCATTATGTGCATCCTGTTTAGAATTTCATTGTTTTCCCAGTTAAAAATTTTCTAAGGCACGAAATAAGTGAAAATCACTCGGGGCAATATCTGGAGAGTAAGCAAATTGTAGCAAAAGCTCCCAATTAAATTCACTAAATTTTTGCAGCGTTGTTCGAGCCGTATGCGGTCTAGCCGTATGCGGTCTTTACAAACATATAAGAACAAAAAAAATCTGAGCTCCCTGCGCCGAGTAACTCATATATATAATATATATATACATATAATTTATATTTATGGTGCGGCCGATTGCAACCAAAACAAGAGGTACACGCTGTCCTATATACAAAATTTCAACGTTCTGAGTGTACTCGTTTTAGAGTTAGACGCCACGAAAAAATCTCTACTGAATCCATTTTAAATCAGTTTTATAATTCCGTTTGGGGAAAAAGCGTCCTTTATTCTGTCCTTAGGTATAGATGTCACGCAAAAACATCGTTAAACTGCTTTCGATAACGGTCAAAATGGATATTTTCGTCGAAATATAATACACGAAATTTTTCGCGATTACAATACTTCCGTTTTATTTCGTACAAGGAAGTAAAAATGCTTCTTGACTTTTATCTCATAATAGGAAATAGTAGCTCTGGAGATAGTAACATGTGAAAGAGAGAGTTATGAAGAAAATGCAATCAAAATACGAAAAGTACCTGAACTATCAACTCACCAGATTTTTTTTTTTTTTTTTTCATAAAAGTAATGATTTTTTACTCACTATTAACATCAGAATAAATGTACGTAAGTGATGCTCAACTTAAACCGTTTAATTTATTAGATACAAATTTCATCATAGAATTTTTTTATTCAGTTTTTGCTTTATCTAATGTATAAGTCATTATTACACACGTTATTTAGTGATTTACCGTGATTTGCAAGGTATCATGTAGTGAGTTTCACTTATGAAGAAATACTTTGCTAATATATTGATCATTTCTGCTAACCTGATAGTCGCTACCCATTGTAAAAGCAACGTCACTGGAATAAGTCATAGAAAAGGAGTTATTTGTT